TATTTATTATTTTAATATTATTTAAAAATAATATTTCAATCATTTTCTCACCAAATCTGATCCTAATTTCTACCTACTACTTTCTTCCATGCTAAGGAATCTTAATGCTGAAAATTTATTTTTACTATTTACTTTTTACTATTTACTATTTACTTTTTACTATTCCATTTAAAAAAATTTTACTAAATAAGTTACCAAAAATTTGAACCTCTCCTTCTAAAATTACTATAATTTTATATCCAAAATTTACAATTTTCTATCCATTAAAATTATTATTACTAATAAAATACTAAAATTTACTACTATAAATATATATATATATATATATATATATATATATATATATATATTTTTTTTTATGGGTCTTACATCGGAGGATATAGCTCAATTGATAGAGCTCCGCTCTTGCAATTGGGTCGTTAATAAAACAATAAAGCAATTGGGTCGTTAATAAAACAATAAGAAAACCATAAATATGTATAAAATGAATTTTGATGTAAAATATTTTAGTGAATTAATTTTATATTATTATATTACATTGAAATATATATTGATTACAATTTATTACACATTAAGATAGTTTTTAATGGTTTTAAAAAAGTTCTAACATAAATTCTGCTTTCATTTGAATTTGTTTATTTTATATAAATTTTAATTTTAAAAGTGGGTGAGTAATATTATAATAAAAACTTATAGAATAATTTATCAAAATCCCATGCAAATATAAATTATATAAAGTTTGTTGAATAAATTTAGTAATGAAATAGTATATGTAAAAGTATTCATATATAATTATATGCAAATTTTACATTACATTAATACTTTTTTAAATGCTATCAATTTTTTAAAAAGAGGCTAATTATATTTGAAAAAATATATTTTTTTACTTATAATTCATTACAAACAAAAGATAATTATTTATGGAACTATTCTTAAAATTTTAATTTATTTATACTATATAAATTTATGAATTAATTAAAGCATGATTTTTATGACATGTTTATTATTGTATAAAAATGATTTTATAAACAATCTATGTTAAACCATTACACGATCCATTCCAAATCTTTGAATAACTTTGTGCTTTCAAATAAAGTTTTGTTTGTAAATAAACATCTCACATAAACAATGTGTTTAATTTTTTTTTCATATAAAACTTCTCATTTCTAGCTATCTTATTAATCTATTTTCTATCTACATTTCTGTATTTATTGATAATTGTTATTTTTAAATTAAATATTTTTTTTAATTAAATTTTTTATTATAATGACAAATAAAAAAAAGCACGTGTAAGGAAATAAAAAACATTATAAGAATATTATTTTATTCAGGTAGGAAATTGAATTTTAAATCAACTCAGTATAACTAGCAGAGAGCTAGATTCTGATGGGAAAAAAACTAGTGTGGCAGATTCATTAAAAAAAAAGTGATTCAGCAATTGATTCAAGAAATTAGATAATAACAAAAAGGGTACAGGCGTATCCTCTTCAAGGCAGATGGGGGACAAGAAAAAGGAACGTTGGTGGAAAGCTAACAGTGAAACAGATGTTGCAAAATCATCTGCTATGGATGTGGACAAGGTATCTGTTGTTCTTTTAGACGGTACTTGCTTCCTTGCTAATGTATGTTAGCATAATTGCTACGTGATTTTTTTTTTCTTTGTTCTTTTAAAAGTAAAGCATTAAAGGAATCTTTGTTCACTGTTTAGGAAATGATTTCTTCTTCAAAGTCTGGTACAAAATCAACTAAGGATGAAAATTCAGAGACTCCCAAGACAACTGTAATGAAACTTACCTCAGGAAAAGAAAATGTATGTTTCCTGTTCACCCTAAATTTTGATAATATTAAATCTTCAGAGATATATTTGTTTGGAACTTTCTCTTGATAAAGTTTTTTTTTTTGTATTTGTTAATTTTAGATTTTTCGTTGTCTTGTATTGATTACGGCTATTTTTCTGCTGTGTCAGGAGTCTGATATGGTGAAAACCTTGTTGGTATACGGGTCAAAGTTTGGTGGCCTAAGGATCGTGAGTAAGTAAGTACATGGAATCTGTTCAGATTTTACATTCCTTCACTGAATTTTTTGTTAACGAGGCTAAAGACATGATTTAAGCTGTTTAGTATTTATTTTTGAATTGTAATCTCTAGTTTTTAAATAAATGGTATTATGAATTGTAATGTGTTTTTAGACCTTAAAACTGGACTAATGTTGCAGTTTTAGTGATTTGAATTATGTGTGTTATAGTCATTTTCTACAAGTATCCTTGTGTACACCTTTCTATGAAGTGACCATGATGTTTACAGTTTGAGTTCAATATTTCCCTTATTGGCCTATATGATTTTTTTTATTAGTTATTTTGATAGTCTATATGTTAAACTACTACTTAATACCTTGTGTAAAATGTTGTGTTATAATTCTTTGATATGAAACAGCTGAAGATATTATGTGTTTGAATTGAATATATGTTGTTCATTTATATATTTTTCAAAGTTATCCTTAAAAGTGGGATTCATTACCCCATTCTATCCCCCTAATTGATTCATCTTCTTCATTTCTCACAGGAGAAGTAATACGTTTATCTTATTAATTTATGCAATTTATTTATTGAATACAAAAGTTGTAAAGTAATTGATAGTATTTTTGTCAAGAAATAATTAATACTAAGAAAAATTCCAAGAGGATCTAATGGAAAGAAAGGGACAAATAAGCACCTGACAAGCGTCTTATATTTTTCTGTGGTTAAAGTAAAACTCTAAACGATGAAACATAAAGTCATATTAGTGCTTTTCTGATGAGCTAGATAGCGTAACTGGAAAAAAAGAAGCTATTTCATAGAACTTCTTTCAAAATTATCCAAATGTTCTGTATTTTAGATCTTCTATGACGATGGAGATGAAGAAACATTAAATCTTGTGAAGGAAAAATGGAAGGTCATTGATGCTAACTCAGATGCTGATGAGGTTGGTGTATGCCTTGTTCGTTTTGTGCTAAACTTTCTCTGTCTAAATTAATGGCAATCATTTCTATGGACAGGAGGAACAAAGTGAGCGTGCAAGTCTTGACGTTTCCACTGATATGTATGTGCCGCATATTCTTAATGCTGTATTTTCCTATATTTTTCATGCATTTATTGGAGTATGCATGTATTGTGATGTTTTGCAAAAACTGTGTAAGAGTTCTGGACTTAGTTGCTGCTGTTATTTGTTCTTGTTGCTGATTTGTTGTATCTAATAGCTACCATGATATATTTGACCTGAAAACCTGAACCTACTCTTGGCAAACGTATACTTCTGTGAATAATTATTTGCCTGTTAATTTGGAGCTTTAGATATGATTTATCCTATGCTATAGTTCTGAACTAGTCCCTACCCCCTTTTTTTGGCTGTTGAGGATAGTTGCTGCTGTTGTATATTTGATGTTCGAATAATTTCTTTGGCTTTTAACTATTGAAGCTGTTAGAAATCCAGAGCATGTGAGGATTTTGCATTTTCAGTCAGATTTAATAAATTGTATCAAGTGCCAACAATTTTTTTTTTTTAAAAGACTTGACTGTTTAGTATTCTTTAGATAAGCAGTAACACTTTTGACACTTCTATACTCACCTGTTGAATGATCTATTGAAACAAAAAGGGCAAATTGACACTGGTATCCCTCACGAATCAATTAGGCAATGTGCTGCATTGGTTTGACTTTTATCAATTTAGAGTGTTAGTAGATTGTTTAATGTTCCCTATTTTTTCTGAAGAGTTCAAATGGACATTCTTGTTTATTGCTGTAATTTGTTATTCTCGTTGTGGCATGCATGGTGCTCTTTCCAGCTGTCTCTAATTGGTCTTATTATTCACATTGCATTGCTCGGATCCTATTCAGGTCACCAAAGAAGAAACAGAAAACAAATGTTGGTGAGTCAAACAAGCAAGGAAAGACGGATGCTTCTTCCAGAAGGTTAGTGACTGTCAATTAATCTATTTCAGTGCCAGCTCTTATTTAATATCTAAATTTTGTACATCAATTTGCAGTGATGGAGCAGCAGCATCCCATAGATCAAAGGGTGTATCCATGAAGTCTATCCAAAAGACTAAAGATGGCAACAAATCAAAAGATTCCAGGACTATTAGCAAATCAGAGGATGAAGTTTGTAGAAAATCCAAGGACAACACTGCTAAAAATAGTAGCAGGAAATCTGTTGCTGCTGCTAAGAAAGTGAGTAATAAATTAAAAAACACTGATACTTCCAAGACAATTGAATCGAAGGGTGATGAAATTAACACGCCAAAATCTTGTGCCAAGTCTAAGCATGAAACTTTCAAATGTGAAAAATCTAAACTAGAAACCCTTGAGTCATTGATAGGAAAACGTCACAAAAGTGGTGGAAAAATGGATGTTAATGGTACTGGCAATGGGAAATCTGGTTTGTTGAAGAGAAAAGATCCCAAGAATGATTCAAATGTTTCGGCAGGAGAGGTTGAAGATGTCAAGGGAAAGACTTCACATTCATCAAAGCTACAAGGAAGTGAACTCAAGAGTGGAAAAAAACTTCAGAGAAACTAGAAGTGAGTATTTATCCTGGCTATCAGTTTTACTCTTCTTGTAATGAATTTAAGCCTTGTGTATAAGGTAGCTGTTTTATCTTGTTGCTAGCATTGTTATATTTAGTTATGGGTTAGGCTAGCTTAGTTGTAGTATGGATTAGTGTCTGTACTCACTTTTTGGTTGTTTGTAGACCAGATCGATGTTATATGAAGGGCAACGCTAGAAAATAGTTTGCTAGCATTCATTTAAAAAAATTGCTTTGGCACTGCCTTATGTTTGATAATATATGATACACATTCGTTAACATTACTCTTGGTTTAATGGCATTTTAGATTTGTATATACTTTAGTCACATGTATTGGTAAATATAACTATTTGTTATTATTAAAATACATTATCACAATATGACAAGTAATGATATGCGTGATAGTTAGAACATCAAAAGTAACCTATAAATATGTTGAGTATTTGTAAGGTACTGTAACTTTTTTGCAGTCATATATCATTAAATAATGCAATTACATTGTGCTCCTATTCAAATGCATTTTTCTTATCTAATTTTTGTATTCATCCTATTCTTATATATATAGTATTAGTATATTTCAATTTTCATTGGTTTTGGTATGACAAGCAATTACTTTTGTGAAGTGTTTTATGGATGTTGATAATGTAAAAGTATTTTTTTGCATGTCTTCATTGGTGGGAAGTAATTATCAGCTTTTTTAATTTCCAAGGGTTCCAAAATTAATGGTTGAAGAAGTTACACTTTGAGGTGATTTTGATAATGTTGATAAAAAAATAATGTACATATTTTAGTCTATCATTGAAGTACATTAAACATCTTTTAATGGGATGATATTGTATTGTTGTTTATTACTGGAATAATGTACACTATCAACTATACTCTTGGATTGTTTTTCTCTAATGATTTATTAACACTATTTTTTAATGATTTATATAAATAGATGCTGACATAAAAGATTGAACTATAAACCCCCTTTACCTAAATCTTTCATTACAAACAACACCTGCTAGGACTTATGGTATTTGAAATAATATATCATTGTTCTGTAAACTTGTATTTGGTGATAAATTATATAACCAAATCTTGTCATAATTGTTGTTTTTGCCTTTGCTTTTATGAATGAGTGGAAAAAAGGAGTTAATAAGTAGTCATATTTGTAGTGTAATAATAGTCATGTAAGATTATCTATTACTTTTGGTTTAATTGTATTCTAATTTATTAACTATTATAATTATGTGATTTTTGTTTTCTTGTTCATTGAAAGTAACAGAAGTTGTTGGGCATTTACTATAGTCATTCAATATTTTCAATGTATGTGTGATAAATTTGGTTTCAATGGAGAATTTTGCATATATTTTCCCAACAGAATGTCTTTGGTAATTTTATTTCCTTTGTGAGCCTTTTATATAAATCTTTTAGATGAAAAAACTTTGAAATTGATTTCACTACATTACAAGCTTTATTACTATAATGTTGAGTTAAACTTTTATTCATATGGTAATTGTGGGTGACTTTCTACAATTTCTAATTTATTCTCTTGGACTGGTTCATTTTATTTATCATGGATCATTATAATTAGGATGTCAATTAATTGGCAGATTAAATAATCTATCAATTACTTGTCATAAATTGATTTTTATTTTATGCTTACTCATCTTTTCTTTTGGATGTGTCACTCTTCTCATGTGATGTATCTTCTATTTCTTTTGCTTGGGTGTATTAATTATTTTCAGAGAGTTTTAAGTCTATATGTATAAAATATCTATTTATAAATTTAACTAATAAAATTTATTTTAAATTTAGAATAGTTTTGGACGTATAAATTAAAATTATATTTAATGGTTGCAATTGAGAGAGATCTTATTATCTATTTATTTCAACAAAACGACAAAATTAAATTTTAAAAATGTCTTAAAACACTGTAGACAGATGATTTTGTGAAAAAAAAAACAATTTCAAAATCTCTGACACTTATATTCCTTCTAGCTTTAAATTAAATATTATTTTCATACATTTTTAATAAAATAAGAATAATTCATTTTCAATATTTTTGAAGACTAATCTGTGTATACTTATTAAAATGACATTTATCTTGTAATTTTTTAAGTATGTTTTTATTTTATTTAAAAATAAAATCGTGATAAAAACTATCAAAACAAAAAATTTAAGCTTTAAATATGCCAAATAAATAAATTTTATATTAAAAAATTTAAGTGATTTAATTATTTTATATTACCAATATCTTAAAAAATTATTTTGTCACTCAATTATAAATTGTTTTGTAAAAAATAATAAATAATTATAAAATGTATGATTAAATTTATTAAGTTAGTATTAAACTTAAATATATTTTTAATATAAATATAAATATATTGTTAAAAGTGTAAGTTAAATATAAATATCATAAAATACTGGGTTATTTATTAATAACATAAGAGATGATTTTCTGAATGGTATAGTTAATTTCAGCCATATTCTTTACAAATTTGTATGAGTTAAAGAATGCATGTAAATGTATATACACAATGGTATAAAAAGTTTCTATAGATTATTTCAAAAATATCATGGTGGGTTTTCCAAATAATAAAAATTTATCAATTCTTCTTAGTCTTGAATGAACAATTTTAGTCTTAATTAATTATTTTTAATCTTAAACAATTGTTTATAGATTTTATTTTTGTTTATAAAGCTTTAAGTATGGTTCAACACATCATAATAGATTACTTACAACACAATATTGTGCAACATGATTAATATAATCTTATTTTGTTTATAAAACTCTAAATATTGTTCAACATATGAGAGGGGTGGATTAGATTGATCTTTATTATTATTAGAAAGTGGGTTTTTAAGCCTAACTCAACCCCACAAAACCGGGCTCTGATACCATATTAGAAAGTGGGTTTTTAAGCCTAACTCAACCCCACAAAACCGGCTTGTAAGGTGAGGTTTGCACCTCACTTATATATTATAAATTGGCCTTATCTCTAGTCGATGTGGGACTTCCAACACACCCCCTTCACGCCGAGGTATAGACATCTCGTGCGTGATAGTAGAAATTGGGTGGTCCAATAGCGGCCCGATTGCGGGTGGAATAGAAGAATAGAATGCCCACTTAGAACTCGCTAGGATAGGCACTAACCATGGCTCTGATATCATATTAGAAAGTGGGTTTTTAAGCCTAACTCTAACCATGGCTCTGATACCATGCTGGTTAATTGACACAACAATAATCTCTAGCTACATAGATATAAAAAAAAGGAAACAATCTATATAAGTATTTATTTTCTTTTGATAATATTTTGTATATGTTAGCATATTATTTATTTTTCAATTTAATAAAATACAACTAAATGTACCTAAATATTTTTAATTAAGAAGTGGGCTAAATCATATATTTCACCTCCTTTTAACAAATAAAGTTAATAGATGAAGTATAATAGAAAATATTAGTAAATTGAATTGTTTTTTCTTTATCTGAATAAAGATAAAGAAAAACCTTGCATTTGTTGGTTAAGTCATATACTATTTCCACTCTTCATGAAGTTTGGTTGGTTTGTATTTGCAAAAAGAAAAATTAAAAAATAACCAAAATACAACTAAGACATGAAAACACTATTTACCAAATATAATTAATGCATATTTTTTTTTTTTCAAATATATCGTGAAATAGGTCAGTGTAGACATGGATTTTAAAAGTCGTGCATGAGATAAATATTTGACTGAGTGATTGCGTTATATAATTAACTACTCAAATGTGATTACTATTTACTCAAATGTGATTACTATTTATTTCCTTTTAGTTAACTAGATGTCAATATTTATTTTATTATTTAATATTGACTATAAACCAACAATATATTTTTGAAAATAATTGTCTTGACATAAAACAAAATAAGAAATAAATATAAAATTATTTAATGTCATTAATCTTGTGCTGAATAATAAAATATTTATTACAATTAATATTTTAATTTAGGATGCATATTAGTATCTATGAAAATAAAGTTAATTTTAATTATTAAATAATTAATAATATATTATGAATATTTTAAATAATTTTATCATAAAAGTTAAATACATTAATATGAGCCTTTTGCCTCCAAGGTAGTCCAACTGCTTATTCTCCTTACTTGAACTATCAATTACAATTATTTTAGTCTAACATGACAATGTTTTAATATTTAAAAGGTATGTTTTATTATTTTTTTTTTAAAGAAGTTTATAACAATCTTAAAAATATGTTTTTTTTCTCTAAAAATGTTTTTTTGTCTAAAAAATGATTCTATTGGTATTTGTTTTAATTAATATAATTTATTATTTTAATGTAAAATTTATTTTAAAAATTTTTAAAATAATTTATTAAATATTTACTTAGTGTAACAATATTTCATAAAGGCACATTAGTATCTTCACTACATTTCAGTACAAAAATAAATAAATAAAAGTTATTATTATTATTTTATGTACTGTTTGGATGGAAATATTATTCTATATGGAGAATAGGAAAGTAGTAAATGCTAGCTTTTTGTAAGGGACAGGAAAATAGATATAATTCATAAGAAATCTTCCTCTCCATTTTTTTAAAACGAACTTTACTCTCTCTCTTTAGTTTTTCTTTTATCTGTCACACACTCTCTCTTTTCTGTTTCTCATTTTTGGCAAGGAAAAGGGGGAAAGGAAAGAAAAATAATTGAAAAAACCCTAATTTCCTTGTTCCATCCACATCTACTCTCAAATCGGGTTGGATTGCAACGGTTCCATGGACCGAATGAAGTGAAGCAGCCTGAGTCTGTCGAAGATCAAAAGGAAGAGACCGGAACGACACAACCAATGGCGACTACAGATAAAGAATTGGAAGACCAACTTCTCGAGGCCGGTAACAAACTCGCAGATCCTCCGTCATCCGTGGAGGACCTTCTCTCACTTCTAGACGTAATAACATTTCTTCCCTTTGAAAGTTATTTTAACACTTGCTTGTGATATTCGAATTTGTTTTGTTTTTTTATTGTTAGATGCATGTAGTTAACATTTTTTGTCCGCAATCTGGTCGCTTAGAATATTTGGCTTAGAATATTTGACTTTGATGTTTGTGTGTGGTCTTGATATGAGTACGAATGCAAGGAATGTTTGATTCGAAATTGTTTTCTTTGATACCTAAATCGTCTTGGCGGTGAAGGGATAATTGTTTTAGTGAATGATTTAATAGATATACCAATATAATATAATATGATATGGTGTATATTATATATTTTCTCCTCTGCTGTACATAAAGTGATGGAGTTCTAATTGGGAAGTGATGATGGGTAATATATTAATATGCTGGAATTTGTTATAGTCGACACATATTTTCTTCATTATGGATGTACGAAATAAATGGTGGTGAAGAAATTGAATTAGGTCTTGGAATTGCCTTGTTCAGTTTTTGTCAATTGATGAAATTATTGATTATTGTTTGTGGTGAGATTGGGAGGAGGGTTTGGAGTGGTGCCAACAGTGACGTTAGGTGGGTGTGGGGACATTGGCTTGGTGTTAGTGGTTGTGGCATAGGGGTTGCAATTGCTTAACCATACCACAATGGTTGTCCTCCTCTGGATATTATTGGAGCATCCTGCACTATGCTTCCTGTACCTCCCTTTCCTGTCTCGCCCTCCACCTTTTTGTTAATTTGATGTTGAGTATCTTGACATTTTTGGCTTGTTGCTGTAACTTGGGATGTTTGTGACAAGGGCATGAAAGTTATCTATGTGGTTTTGGAGATTTGGTGTGGTACTGGCTTGGGCTACTGGTGATCAGTGATTCTGGGTGAAATTTAATAATGTCAGATGATTTGCAAGGAAAATGTGTTGCAACAACACCCGGCAAGATCACAGTTTCAAAGATATTATTTTTGACAATATCCGCAGTGACTAATTTTTCCAGTTTCCTTCCATGCCTCCCTTTCCTGATCTTCACCGGACTAAAATCCATAAATCTACTATTTTCACCGGTATCTCCCGGAGTTGTCTTTATACACATCTAATCCACCTTAGTCTGTTTTTTGTCACCTTTTCCTTAATTGGTGCCATACTAATCACTCTCATGTAACCATTTTGTGTTTTTTCTTTTCTTGTGTGACCTCCTATCCATCATAACATTCTCATTTATGCTACTCTGACTTTTTTCTCTTGCTGTTTTTGTAAAGTCCAACATTCATGACCATAGAGCATTGTCGGAACATACAGTTATACGACAAAAGTTGTACTTGAGTTCTTAGGTGCTCTATTTAGTCACAAATAACCTGTCTGTATCCTAACATCCCAGGTGTCACGTTCCAGTTTTAATCACCCCATCATTTTGTAGTATTGCTCCCATATACTTAAATTAAGAAACCTATGGGTATGACATCTTGCAATTTTATTTCTAGAAGAGATTCTTCTTGTCTCACTCAAATTATGATGCCTGTGCGCTATCGTATTCCCACTTAAGTGAATTCCAAAGTCTGTCCCAAAGTTTAAGTTTAGGGTTAGTTGCTTCGTTGATATCTCAACCAAAACTTATCATTCGCAAAAGACATGCAAAAAGAAACAGGTTTTTGTATGTCCCTTGCTAGCTGATCCTATTCCTTTCTTTCAAGAAAAAAACCTTTAGGGCTTGTTCTTTTGAGTGGATTTGAGGGAGTGGATTTGAGAGGATTTGAAGATAATTATTTTTGTCGTTTTTTTGAGCGAATTTGGAGGTAAATGAAAGTGAATTTGAAAATAATTTTTTTTTAATTTGTCACGTCAATACAATTCTTTACTAATTCTCACAAATTTTATTTTCAAATTCACTCTTATTTACCTCCAAATTCGCTCAAAAAAACAACAAAAAAAATTATCTTGAAATCCCCTCAAATCCACTCCCTCAAATCCACTCAAAAGAACAAGCCCCTTAGTCTCACATCTAGGTGTTCTCACATTTCATTTTCAAATTTCTCCACAACACTTTTCTTGGTGCTTAGTCATTACCTTTTTCCAAGTCAACAAAATCCATAAGCCTTTTTCTTTGTATTTTGGTACCTCTGTAAAAGATAAATAAATTTCATCTATTGTAGACCTTCCTAGTAAATAACTGAACTGATTCTGTACGATCCTCACTTTGCCTCTTATTCTATTGTCAATCACCCTTAACCATATTTTCATAGTGTTACTCGTATGTTTTATACCTCTATAATTAGCACAATTATGAATATATCCTTTATTCTTGAATATATGGCTAAAGTGCTATTCCTCCACTCATCTGGCATTTTCCTATATATCAAAATCTTGTTGAAAGCTTAGTGCGCAAAATGATACCTTGTTTTCCCACATTCCAAACTTCAACATGTATACCATTTGATCCAACAACTATGCCATTATCTATTCTTTGTATGGATCTCTGTTACTTTTCTGATTCAAATTCTATAGTTTCTGTTCATTTTCTTGTATTTCTACTTCTCTGGTGAGAGTCAATCCTTGTTTCTATTGAAAACCTTATAAAATTAATTTCCTCGTTGTGGTTTGTCCAAACTTTACCTGATGCATCTTACATTCTTACTTAATCCAAATCTCTTGTATAAACTTTTAGGTGGTTCTTCCTACACTGTTTTTTTGTCTCATTCCTTGGATTTTATACCTTTTCTAATTTTGAGTACTGTTGCACCTATGTAAGATTTTAAAGCATTCTCTTTTATTCTTTACCATGTCTTTGCCATTTTCATTCCACCACCAAAATTCTGTATCTCTTGAACCTAAATCTCTTGTTCCACCCAAATTTATCTTTGCAACCTTCCTTGTTTTCTCAGACTTTTCATCCCACTTGACGATAGCATTACCAAGTGATTCCTAATTTCCTTCCTCCGGTATCTTTTTCTTAAATGTTGAATAACCATTTCCCTTAAGTTGGCACCTATTGATACTTCGATTGGTAACTTGCCGTGTTTTCTGTTTATACTTTTCAAGACAAACATCATGGACCTCATCTTTATGTTGTGTAGTAAGGCTCCCGATTGGAATCACCTTGCATTCCTTACAGAACCCTTATCAGGCCATCTTTCTAGAAAAAAAATAATTTTAGTCTTTGAACTTCTACTAGTACCTATCATTATTTATATAATCTGAACCCTTTATTATTAAATATACCGTATCAATGGATATGATTTAGTCTATGGTTCACCTTAGACAAACCATAAACATGAATATAAAATTGTAGAACTAGATAAACAATTCTTTAAGTATCCAATAAAGACATATCAAAATATTAAAAAAAAAACTAATTATCTCTTTAATTGTTCCTATTGCATTGTAAGTTAACTATGTTTTGCAATAACATTTTAATTATTTTATCATAGAAAATAGTTGATAAAATTGGGAGTTAGATAGTGAAATCGTACAATTCCACGATTTTGCACCTTGAGTCCGTTCCACAATACTTTTTAACTGATTCTGTTCCTCTTATTGAATTTGTCTTTTGTATACACTCTATTTGATAAATTCTAAGCATTGTTTATCATATCCTATCTTACATAAATCTATGGTATTCAAGTGTTGGATTTGAAATTTTGTTCCATTTTCTTTACTTTGGTTCCCTTCTCTCCTCTTTGTTGGGTAAATTTTTTTTTATCGGGTTGTTAGTATTTGTTAGTGGGGGAGTTGAACCCATAACCTCTCCCACCCTCCCTTCTAAACCCACCATACCAACCTTATATCTCCAAATAGTTAGTGTGTGTGTGTGGGGGGGGGGGGGGGGGGGTTGTTGAACCCACAACCTCTCCGACCCTTCCTTCCAACTTTATCACTAAGCCATTCGTATATGTCCTTTTGTTGGGTCAATTAGTTTGTATTATGACAATAAATTACAGCCATGGGCATAATTAAGTAGTGTGAAGAATCAGCATTGTTTGTCCTCCTCACCTAGGCACTTCTTACCTTTAGGTGAGTAGAGAATTGTTCTGATTTAAATAATGCCTGTGAACTCAGGCAACATGTAGAAAGGTAGATCTTATAGTTTTAATCATGGTAGTAAGAATTGAGTGATACATTATCCGTATGTATGATACCATTCTCTACACCTATGGTGTCATCGCTGTAACACTTGGTTTTCGCTCCTAGATCTATCTTGTATCATTCAAATCTCTTTTGGAATTTCATGAATTGCATTCTTGTTTGAATTGTGCCTTGAATCGTGGGAGAGAGACCGCGTTCAGGTTGCACTCAGAAACAGGTCGGGTTACATTCTGAAATGGGTTAGTTTGCATGACCCTGTTTGAAAAAGCCCTAATTTGCTTTGATTTTTTGCGAGAATCAGCATGGGAAGAGAGGTAAAATGGTTTTTCTTTTCCCTCCGGCCATGCCCAGTTATTATTTTGCCTTTTCTTCCCTTCCAGACTCTTATCTTATCCATAATCTCTCTTCTCTGCCTACTCTTGTTACCCACTTATCTCTGTCTTTTCCTCATGTCTACTTGGTGGTCTCTTAAATGTTCCTTTCTACTCTACAACAAAACATTTTTCTGCTGGTCCCTTACCTTTCATTACATGTGTTACTCCTGAGTGAGTTTTCTTCTGTACACTTGCTTTATAGAAATAGACAAAAAAAGGGGAGCCTGATATTACTTAGGGCTATTGTTAAACTCATCCTACTAATAGACTACAAGTAAAATGTGAATTTTGTTTTCATGCTTGTTGTGGTGGCATAGCAAGGACAAAGCATCATCTTATTGGAACAAACAAAGATGTTATTCCTTGTCCTAGTGTTTGAGATGAAGTGAAAGAAACAATTGTGAAGCTCCTGAAATGTAAAGAAAACATTAGCAAGACTAGCTGTCACATGTGTTTCTACTCTTACATTAAACTGTATTAATCAACAAAAAAATGCAAATAAAGTTGACATGCTACTAAAGTTGAGGCTAAGCAAGTGATGAATCTATTGTTGAGTGATGGTAGATTTTGAAGATCAATCACATACTTCCTTAAATGTGTGATTCCACTTGTAAAAGTTGAGGTTTGTAGATGTTGGTACAAAACCAGCCATGCCATCCATTTATGAGACAGTGGATTGAGATAAGGAGCAAATTTCTGAATTCCAAAAGCAAGAAACAAGGTATAAAAAAGTGTGGAAAATTATTGACACTACATGGAATTTACAACTACATAGGCTTCTCCTTGCAGCAGCCTATTATCTCAATCCTAGGTAAGCTAGTTACATTTGTCCTACTAAGCACTTACTTCCTTGTTCTCATTAACTTATTTTTTATAGTGGTAGATATCCTTATGACAACACTTTCAATCCACATAGTGAGTGTTGGTTGGTTTGTGTGAAACATTTCAAAGAATGGCTTTGGCTGCAAGAACAGGAATTGCAATGGATCAACAAATTGAAAAGTTCAAGGGAGCAAAGTTGCTTTTTGGAATGGACATGGCAATAGATACTATAGAAACAACGAACAACCTGATAATTAAATTACTCATTACCATTCTATATGATTTATAGATTTTTAATTACATTATAATTACAAAAGGTGGCCATGAAAATTTTGAGCCTCACATGTGGTGCAATAGGGTGTGAAAGGAATTAGAGCATTTTTTTACCTACTGCATATAATAAAAGAACAAATAGATTGGAACCTTAAGGATGAAATGGTCTGGTGTATGTCAAGGACAATCTTCAACTTGAGATGAGGCAAAAGTAGTAGTGAAGGAAAGGGGGAAGCCTATGATCCCATATGTTTGCCGGGTGATGAAGGGATCACCGGAAAAGAAGTTTCATTTCTTGCCTATTCGTTCCTTGTGGATAATGTACATGAGTATTTTGATGTTGAAGAGGGAGCTCCAAGCAAAAATAGGAAGCGAGGTAGTTATTTATAGTTTTAGAATTTTAGAAATTGGAACTTCAACGTTCAAACTAGAATTTTTTGTTTTTCTTTTGCTCGTAGATATGAAACTTAAACGCCAAGACCAATAAAAATGGAAAATCCATAGTAGATGAGGAAGAAGAACTTTTTGAGGAAGAAGAACTTTTCACAGGAGATGAAGATGACTCGAGTGATGTAGATCTTGGAGAGGAAGAGGATGAAATATGAATGATTTGGATAGAATTTTTTTAGGCTGTTTAGTATATGTAGAAATACTAGCAACAATAATAGTCCAAGGTAGCTACGCTGTAGCAACAACAAATCTTTTGAATGGCTATAATGCAAAATTTGTTTAGTTGCATATAATCATTGTTTTAGGAATTTTATGCTGCAACAAAAGTGTTTTTTTGGAGTTTATGTTGCTGAAATTGTGCAGCATAAATATACATACAACTACTATAACTACTATTCTTTTAGTGGTTGTTATTAGTTGTCTATTTGCATGGTTATACTTGTCTTATATTTAACTATGGTTCATTTTTCAATGTTTATGAATCATGGTATAAAATGATTCACAATTCAAAATATAACCTCTCCATACATAATTTTTTATCTTAATTCCGCTCGTGATTTAATATCTAATAAAAATTGAAGTATATCACGATTTTGAACTCTGAAGTGAGGTGAAGTAGAATAATTGCTTAATTATGTCTAAGACGTAGTCCTAACTAAATGGTTGGTCAAAGGACTAAATACATTTTTGTGATTTTACATATTATTTTTTCTCTCTTGCCATGCAGCAAGTAGAGAGCTTCCTATCAAAGGTTGAACAGTCACCTTCAAACTCTATGCAAATTGCACTCTCTCCATCATTGAAAGCATTGATTGCAGACAAACTTCTGAGGCACTCAGATGATGATGTCAAAGTCGCAGTTGCCTCTTGCATCAGTGAAATAACAAGAATCACTGCACCTGATGCTCCTTATGATGATGATCAAATGAAGGTGTGCATAATTTGTTCTGCTACAGTATATGAATAGACTTGTGATCTTACTTTTTACAAAAATATCTGTAAATCTGTGATCAATCTGAATTTCACCAATGACATTTCTTACAGGAGGTCTTTCAATTAATAGTATCTTCTTTTGAAAATCTACATGATACGTTAAGTCGATCATATGCAAAGAGGATCTCAATTCTTGAAACTGTTGCAAAAGTCAGATCATGTGTTGTAATGCTGGATCTTGAATGTGATGCCCTGATTTTGGAGATGTTTCAGCATTTCTTTAAAGCAATAAGGTACCCTTTATGGTCAAGTTTGGCTTCATCATGGCTTCAAATACTTTGTTATCTGTAATTCTACTTCAAGAATGCTTTAATTATTCTGATTTGTTACTATTTTGTCTGTTTTAACTAAGTTAATGTTTTTATTTTTTTCCTGCTTATTATCTTGTAAACACATATTAGTGTGATTACTGATTACTTCCTTCAGTATAGTTTTAGAAAAATACTTTAAATTTGACCAGGTATACATATTTTACCTCTGGTGGATACTGACAGTCTGATACACATATATTATGACTCTCCCTATTAGAACTTGATTGGTTTTATCTTCAGTCTCCTTGTGTTCATGTTTTCTTTGGATAATTAAAAAAAATATTTAAATTTGGCTGCAATCATACTTTTTCAATAACTTTTGCATGAGATTAAAGACCAACAAAAATATGAAATATAAGCCATGTATAAATCTATAGAAATCAAGAAAATCGAACTAAATATCAGCTATATGAAGAAACTTGATAGAAATCAAGAAAAGGGAAATTAATAAAAATTAGCCATGTATAAATATAATTATATTGTGCTTAACAAAATCTTTATCCTGGTTTTCTTAAAAATTATTAAACCCAGTGCTCATAAATGTAGCTGTACAAGCTAGTGCATTTTTTTAGATAGTTGGAAACTCTTATTTTGGGGATGGACAACATAGTTCTAATAATGTCTATTTGAAAATTTCAGGGAATATCATCCAGAAAATGTTTTTTCATCCATGGAAACAATTATGACCCTTGTTCTAGAGGAAAGTGAAGATATATCCTTAGACCTGCTGTCTACACTTCTGGCCAGAGTTAAAAAAGATGACAAGGTTGTAGTTTTACAGTTTCACTTTCATACCTTTTAGTTGATTGCAATTTTGATATTGAACATTTGCTTTTGTTCGAATTTTATTATTGGTTTGACATTGATAATCATTGTGATATAGGAAGCTTTTCCAATTGCCAAAAAATTGGGTGAGAGGGTCCTTGAAAGTTGTGCAACCAAGCTTAAACCCTATTTGGGTCAAGCAGTGAAATCCTCAGGTATACCTATGGGTGATTATAGTTTGGTACTTTCTTCAATATGCCAAGACGCATCTGATGCCTTGGAGAAAAATTATACATGTGTTACAAGTGAGCACACGGTAAGTTTTCTGTTGGTCATCTGTCTATTAATATTTGAAACATTTCATGATAAGAGAATCCTGAAATTTTACTATTGTCATATTGATTTGTTTCAGGAAGATAAGAGTGAGTTGGCAAAACGACCACGTGAGGAGTCGGCACATGTATGGCCCCACTTTAATGTTTTTTGTTTTTTTATATATCTTGTGGTTCTGAAGTTGTCATCCGGAATTGAACACCGGAACATGTTGATTGTGCTTTTATCAGGTAGTCGAAAAGGATCCAAGGGAAGTTAGTAGTCCCTCTCAACAAGAAAATCCTGATGTGAATATATCTCCAAAGTCGGTCATGAGCAATGGTGTTGCATGCGTTGAAGAAGGTACTGGTTTAACTAATTCCAAGTCCATTAAAAAGCAAGAGGATGCTGAATGCTCTAATCACTCTGAAGGTTTGAATATATCTGGTCATGAGGTGTGTAATGATTTAGACTCTGAAAAAGTTGACAACAGTAAAACTAAGCCAGAACAATCTACCAAAAGACGAAGGAAGAAATCAAGCTCTTCAACTAAATCTGCAAAACTTTCCAAGGGTCAAGTTGCTGCTAATGATAAGGAAACTGAGAAAAAACTCGAAAACAACAGCAAGAAAGTACCCAGTTCCCCTCACGAGGACCATTTTGTTGAAGCAGAAGCAGCAGGACCTTCAGAGAATGACAAAGAGGTTGATGCTAAGACTTTATCACCAAAGGTGTACAACAATGAATCTGAAGTTGCTTCTCCACTAGGTGAGAACCTCCATGATGAAAGTCGATCGAAGAAACTTGGACGAACAAAAAGGAAAGATGGCCCTGTAAAAGATGTGGCTGGAGAAGATGTTTCTAAGGTTTCTGGGGGAGGAGCTAGTGATTCAGAAGCCAAACCTACGAGGCGGTCAATGAAAAAGGCACTTGGTCAGAATTCTGTGAGAAAGACTAGTGTTGTAGATTCAGTTAAAAAAGGAAGTGGGGCAGCAACTGATACAGATGCTAAGAAGCATTCAGCGAAGAAATTAGATGAAAACAAAAAGGGTAGTGGCGGGTCCTCTTCAAAGCAGATTGGGGACAAGAAAAAGGGAGGGAGGACGAAAGCTAACCCTGAAACAGATCTAGCAAAATCAACTGCTACCGATGTGGACAGGGTATTTTTCACACTTTATACGTGTTTGCTTCTGTATATTATCATTATTGCTGCATGTTTTATTCTGCTTTGTTTTTTTTCAAGTAAAGCATTAAACAAATCAATTTTAATTATTTAGGAAGTGGTTTCTTCTCCAAGGCCTGGTACAAAATCAACTAAAGATGAAAGTTCAGAGGAGACTCCCAAGGCAAATGTGAAAAGGAAACGCAGTTCAGGAAAAGAAAATGTATATCCTTTTCCCTTTGAATTTTTAAATTACGATACTGGAACTTCCTTGATATATTTGTTAAGGGAACCTTTGTTTTGGGAAAATCCTTTATGTTGGTCTTGCTAATTTAAAAAGTTTCATTGTATTCTTGCTTTGGTTGGTAATTATCTTTTTCCTGTACCAGGAGTCTGATGTGAAGGACTATGGTGAAAACCTTGTTGGTTTACGAGTCAAAGTTTGGTGGCCTGAGGATCGTGAGTAAGTACTTAGGATGACTTCCATTTTGACTTGCTGTTGCTGGAAATTTCAGTTAATAAGGGGCCAGGAAGTGGTTCTTGTTATTTGGCATTTACTTTCAAATTATAATCTCTAGTTCTTTTATGGTTCTTAGCTGGGGAACATTTGTTTTTACACATCTTAATCTGGACTAATGTTGCTTTGTGTTCATGATGTTTGCATTACTTGTATCACAGTCACATTTATTACATGCATGGTTTTGTAAACCATTCTGTTGAAGTTATTGTGGTCTTGATGGTTTGTGTTATAGATTTTCTTTATCTGTTTGTATGTGAAACTGTTTTGTAATAATTAAACTAGGGTTTACGTTTGATGTGAAGTCACATTATGTTTATGATTAGATTGTCTGTTCATTTTTATATAATAGAAATATTTGCTACAAATTTTCACAGATACCTCATTTGTTACAGGTTTTACAAAGGTGTTATTCATTCTTTTTATTCTGGCAAAAAGAAGCACAAGGTGATTTGACAGTTTATCAAGTCATCTCTCTATCCTCCCCCGTTCCATTATTGACATTAAACTTATTCTTTTTGTTCTTTTATGCTGCTGTGCCCATGATGGAATTCGGAACTTGTCCCTACTATTTTATCTTCTGACATGTTCTTTATTTTAGGTCTTGTACGATGATGGTGATGAAGAAACATTAAATCTCGTGAAGGAAAAGTGGAAGTTAATTGAAGCTGGTTCTGATGCAGATGAGGTTGGTCTACGGCATTTCTTTATACACCAATTTTTTTCTGCACATAAATTAATGGCAATTATTTCTCTTGACAGGAAGGACAAAGTGAACGTGAAAGTCTTGATGCTTCCACCGATATGTATGTTCTATGGTTAATGTCATCTTTTGTAGATACATATTTTATTTGTATTATCCTATATTTCTTACACATGTTTTTATGGGGTGTGCATATATTGTGATGTTGCCCTTCTTCAGAAATTCTGTGCATGTATGCTCGTGGTTTAGTTGGTGCTGTTTGTCCTTATTATTGATTTGATGGATATATTGTTTCAAAGAAAGCTACCATGGTATATGTAACGTGAAAAACCGAGCGTACACTTTTTGCAAATATGTATTTTTGTGAATGATGATTAGCGATCTTTTGATATGATTTGACCCCCATGGCATAATTCGGAACTTGTCCCCCCTACTCCTTGTCGATTCAGGGTGGTCATCTTTTTGTGTTGTATATTTGATGTTCCAATTTTGTCTGGCCTTTAAGTTGTGTTGAGTGCTAAAAGAGATATTTTAAAAAATAGTGTTTGTATCCTTTTATTTCACTAAAGTGATCAATTGTATGACATGGGTATTTGTATACCTCGTGAAGCAATTAGGCTATGTGCTGCACTGGTTTGATTTTTTTAATTAAGAACGTTTCAGTAGATTGTTTTATGTTTCCCCTCTTTTTGAAGGATTCAAATGGACTTGTGTTGTTTATTGCTGTATATTTCTTTTTTCTTTGATGCTGTCGCACACATAGTGTGGTTTTCATCTGTTTCTTTATTTGGTCTTGTTCACATTTCATTGTTCTCCGATTCTATTCAGGCCACCGAAGAAGAAAGGGAAAACCAGTGCTGGTGAATCAACTAAGCAAGGAAAGGTGGATGGTTCTTCCAAAAGGTTTGTGAATATCAAATAATATATTCCATTTCCACCTTTTTTTACGACTAAATTTTTTACTTAAATTTGTAGCGGTGGAGCTGCAGCATCCAGTAGATCAAAGGGTGTATCCGTGAAGTCTAGCCAAAAGTCCAAAGATGGAAACAAATCCAAAGATTCCAAGACTATTAGCAAATCTGAGGACCGAGTTAGCAGAAAATCTAAGGAGGGTACTCCTAAAAGTGGTAGCAGTAAAATTGTTGCAGCTGCTGTTAAGAAAATGAGTAATAAATCCAAAAGCTCTGATACTTCCAAGGCTAACGAATCAAAGGATGATGACACTAGCAAGCCAAAATCTGCTGCCAAGTCTAAGCAAGAAACTCCAAAAGGTGGGAAATCCAAGCAAGAAACCTTGAAGTCTGCCATTTCTAAAGGAAAACCTCTTAAAGGTGGTGGAAAGAGTGATGCTAATGGTAGTGGTAAGGTGAAATCTGGTTTAATGAAGAGAAAATATGCGGAGGATGAAAACTCAGATGCTTGATCAAAGTTGAAAGCTTCAAGGGCATGACTTAAAGATCGTCAAAGGCACAAGGGAGTTAGTTGGAGAGGGGAAAGAAGCATCAAAGAACATAGAAGTGGGTATTTATTCTCACTGTTTATTCCTTAACTGTATCAGGTTAGCTGTTCATCATTTTGTGGTAATCAATCTCGTTGTTGGTAAGTATTATTTTCTCATGTTAATTAGCTAGGCTAGTTTAGTTGTAGTATGGGCTAGTATCCTTAATCACTTTTACATTTATTTCTAGACTAGAGGGATGTTATTTTTAAGTCAACACTTGAAAATATTTGCCTAGCAACCTTCATTTAAAGAATGCTTTGGCACACTACCTGATACTGACGGTTGACTACTTACTTCCTATCTAATTAACGTTCTTTGCATTGCTCGGTGCTGAGCTGTGGTTGTGGTGTTGTTTTGTTGAGACAACACGTACAGCATAAATGATGTGGTGGAAGCTAATGTTTGTACGGTTTATTTGGTTTCAATTTGTATCTTAGAGCGTTCCACATTTTAGTCAGTGAATACATGCATATCACCGCATTACATTACGTTTCCCACTTTTGGTATTTTTAAACTCCACAAACATTCTGCCTTATATGAATATGGCTACCAAATTAAGCTGTTTTTTTATTGCTGTATTGAGTTTAAATATCCTTAGAGACGAATCTGCCAAATTTTATTGATGGATAGATACGAAGTATGTTTGTTATGGTGGGCCTAGGTTGACTGTGTTAATGTCTCAACTAATGCATGATAATGTAGTTTTCGTTGGACCACAACCCATTCCATTGCCACTTGGACGAAAGCTTGGTGTGTGTGTGTATTTTTTTTTTTTTAATTTTCATGGTATTCTTGGATAATTAATATAATCAGAAATTACTAGATTATCATGGTATTTAATTGTCTTCAACCATGCTGTGAAGTAACCACATAAATTGAGTTTTAAATTTTAACGATGGTTTAGATCATTGAAAAAAATCCGTATTTAATAAAAGGTCCGAGCTGTCTTCTTTTGTGAATTATTGATCTCAAATCTACACCACTACAGACTACTATGTTTCAATATCCCCTTTTTGTTACAGACAACAGATAGTGGTGGTTTTGTCTTTTCATAATTTGTTGGTTGTTAGAACTCCAAATCTTTAGCTACTTTTGATAGTAGATTTTAAAAATAGTGTAGCAGGTTAAAGAATAGAACTGCATGTACTTTTATTTTCTCTCCACCTTATTGGTCATTATTATTTACTAGTCTTTTCTACTTATTGGTCAAACTTTGCTGCAAAGTGAATTTACAAGAGGCCAAAACCCAATTGAATATTGGGTCATGCAAAAGTGACTTTGCTTTTGTCCTCTTGCTAAAGGCACATGTACTGATTAGGTGATCACCAATCAGAATTTTTCTCCTTGATTTGCAAACTTCACTTTTTTTTTAATCTGTATATTCTCTTTCTGATTGGGTGTTGTACATCTCTTAAATAAACTCTGACATTTAATTTTTAATTAATATTCATAACATCATACATTTTTTTTTATAAATTTTAAACTATAATGCACAATAGATTAAACTGATATTTTTTTTCCTATTGTTTAGAAGTATGGGTGAAAAAATTATAAAAAAAATTTAAACTATATTTTCTTTCTACATAATTTACTTATTTCTTTGTTTTTAACCTATCCTCTTTTATTTCTATTACCCTTAAATTGAATTTTAAGAATTTTTTTAGTTTATCATTATTTACAAGTAATATTATGTAAGAATTTTGTTCTGTGACATTGAACCGAACAAAGACGATTCTTTTATTGATAGGATTACAAAGGTTTTTTTCTCTTTATTAAGATAATCTGTTGGATTGATGTATATAATATGTCTACTCTTCATTCTCGTTTAGTGAAATATTTCTTCATAAAATATTTTTATGTTTCGTTGACAAGTCATTATATTATATGACATGATTCATTAGAGTCTCTTCTAATTAAACATAAAATGGATATGAATTCTGGTGAAGGTGGTATTCAAGAGTAATGGTTGATTAAATTATCATTTATTTATTTATGTTTTTTCTTTCAGTTAAGGAAGAAATCCTACAATTTTTCTTCACAATAGCTGAACAATAGTTTTCGACATTTTTAGTTAACATAATTTTAAACATATCTATTATAATAAACACTTTGATCAACATAATTATCATATAATTAAAACAAATAAATTAAATAAGAAATATTATATGTATTGCTAATATAAAGACTTTTTTCTTATATGTATTGCTAATATTATTATTTGGCGTAGTTTAATTACTTCTATAATAATTGTTTAAAAACTAAGAATAAAAATATTTTTCAATTAGTTGATAATGTGAAAAAAATTACATTAGCAATACATATTTATTAAGCTATAACTTAAATTTATAAAATGTTTTAAATTAAATTAAAAATATTATAATTAAACATGTTTATATTTTATTCAGGAAAAGGTTATCTATGACTGGTGGTACAATGAGTGATTTTTTACAATAAAACTCTAGTTTTAAGTTTTTATATATTGTGAATCCATTAAAAATTATCTATATAAGTAGTTATTATAAAAATTAATAATCTTTACATATATCTAATTTATAATTACATTATATATTCAAATTAAGTAATTAGGTAATGTGATACCAAAATTAAGGAATTTATAGTCTTAAGATTTATAATTACTTGTATATTAAAAATTTATGTTATCTTTAATCAATATAAGATTTTTAACACACTTTTAAACATATATATTACAATATGTAATTAAACATTAATGGTAATCTGATAATAAAAATAAAATAAATTAACAAACAACAAATGTCTTAATAATGAGTAATATAATACGTTTAACAAAAAATAAGTCTTGTTAAAATAAATTTCAGATAACTTTAATATCATCAATCTAACAACCATTACAAACCAATTTATAAGATAATAATTGGATTCATTTATATATATTATAAATCTATCTTACTATGAAAGAAGTAATGTTTTTATATTAAGATTTTATCATAATGGTTTAAAAGGAGATTAAATTAGAATAGAAAAGTTTTGACAGGAAGAGATATGGAAAGAAAAAAGTAATAAACATATATGAGGAAAGCAAAGTAGTTTGTATTGTATGCACATGGGTTTGCAAGTTGTAACGAATAGCAATTAAGTTTCCACTCTTTTAATACTGTCCCACCCATTTCCTCTTTTCTTTCTCTATTCTGTTCAACAAATTTACTTTTTCCATACTAAATATAAATTGCATTCAGGAACTGCAACTGCTCGTATTCATTGCAGTCGTGCAACTTTTGTTTTCAACTTCTGTCAGTTATGTTTCAAGTAACCATTTTGGTAACATCAGATAAATGATTCCATATTTGTTTTGTTTTAAGATTCTAAACAGTTTATTGTGATTGTGATAAAATCTACTTTAAAAAATGTGTTTTGTTGTGTGTACAAGTTTACATGTACTAATATGTTCTTGTATTCTTTATTATATCCCACCAAACAAATTTATTGTTAGCTTGTGCAAAGCAGCATACTTTGCTTTATGTCTCATCTTTTTTAAATTTTGGTTCACAGCATATATATATAAAATTCAAAATGTTTATACATATAAATAGATAATATAAATAGACGAATATTTAAAAATAAAAGGTTATTTCTTTTTCCTGAACAAAAGTCATTGTAGTGTTGAATCTCACTTCTAATTACTAGCTTCAGAATCAACGTATAATGTTCTAGAGAGAAATGAAGACTAAAAGGGCAAAATATAAAAAAACTATAAGCCTTCATGTGTCACATTATTACAGCGGAAGTGTAAAGATAGATTTTGTGTGTGAATTTAAGGGCACAGATTAACGTGAGAGAGGGAGAGGTTGTTGGGCGTAACATGTCAAGATTAGAGATGGAGGACTGTTAATCTAAACAGAAAAGACAAAACTGACCTTGCCTTTACTTTGAAATAAGGCTATTCTTTCGAGGACGTATTTAAGATTTCTGCATAGATACAGTGAAATTCCCTGCAACAATTCAAATTCATCTGTATCTTTTAGTCTTTGACCAAGGAGGGAGAGAGATGTTGGTGAAATTATACCACATTGTCACCTAAAATCACACTCTCGTGGTTCTTCAACTAATTGGGATTCAACTTCATACAACTCCTACTATTTTAAGGTTTAAAATTTTTTGTGTAGATCCACAGTCTCACAGTCTCACTTATGCAACTCGTTAAAGTATTTTACACAAACCTCAAAATTAATGATAATTGTCATATCTTTAGTGAGATGAAATCGATAAATATTATAATCAAACCTACATATCGGTTATATTTAATTTTTCGTATGAAGGTTGAAAGTTATCCATTCAAACCATACATGAAGACCTACAGTACGATGAGTTTGAAGCTTTGAACTCCATGGTCAAACCTCACTTGCATGGACGGATGATTAGGAATATCAATGATAGACTCTTTCATTATGTGTTTGTTTCTATATTGTCACCTCGATATACAAATCTTGCTAAACTAACTCATGAAGACATATTCTTCTTGTAGTGTTTGAAAAATAACATTGTCAAACATTATGCAGCACATGGTAAAATGCAGGAAGAACAACATGTCTCTTTCATACATAATGTTGATTACAAGAATACTTATTCTCTTTGAGATGGACTTGAGTTATGAGAGTCTTGTTGAATTGGGATAGAATCACTACTTTGATACAAAAACATTGTTAAAATTAGATATTGTTAATGTCGCAATATTTGACAACATGGAAGGACAGAGAATGTGAATACAAATAATGATGTCGAACACACTCCAAATGTTGTTACTACCATTGGATTACAATTCCAAATTTAACAATAAGTGGTATAGTCAGATGAAATCCCGAATGAAGATGAGAGGTTTACTCAAATTATGGACAAAATTGATAACATCCAGGATGGTTTTTTCAATTTGACATTGATTGAAACAAGGATTCAACAATACCTACACAAGATTATAAAATTTGGAAGATCAAATTGATACACTATATTAAATAACTTTCCAAAATTGTTAAGTTTAATTAACCAATTATACTTTTTTTTTTCAAAACTTATTTCAATTTACTAGTGAACAATTTGTATTTATTATGTAAAATTTAATATATTTTTTAACAATAATTTTTAAATAATATAGAAATTATTATTTAAAAAAATGTATTTGAAATTTATTTCTAAAATCATTTCTATAAATTTTATTTTTATTTTTGTAATTTTATTTTTTTATCAATATTAATTTCATTTATTATATAATTTCCATTACTTAAATTTAAATTT